AAATGAAACTTACCTGCTTGAACTCTTTCATTTGATCTGGGTGTCTTTAGAGTGTTTTGTTAGTTTGGTGTGTTTCCTCCTTTTGATGTCGCCACGTCTCAGTGCTTTTATGAAGAAAGCGCATCTGTGCACCTTTCGGATAGCGCATCAAGAATCGGGTTGACCGGGTACTCAGTACCACCGGTACTTAAAAAAACCTGGTACCGTAATGTTTTCATTTTTTTAGTACCGACTTGGTACTGAAGTACCGGGTCTTTTGACAACACTAATTTGGAACTATTTTTGTTGGCGATATAGAGCAAATCAGACAATACTGTTCTTTAATGTAAGTCATTTATTTCTAAGTTGTTTTGTTTCTAAATGAATCAGCCATTTTGAATTGTATGAATGAATGATTCAATAAATCACTCATTAAGACAAAGGCCTGTCGACACCTGCTGGCAGTTTTAGTGTCATATTTTGCATTACTGCATAAAAGCCAGACTAAAATATTCCTGCTCTGACCCTCCTCAGCCCCTAATATAGCAATATACTGTTATAATTACTATGTAAATCCATTTTTTGCCACCTCTGAGCAGCATTAAACTCTTTGTGTAAAGATGTATAATTACCACGTCAGAAGCGCTTCTGGTACCACCTTTGCAGTGTAAATTTGCCAATGGTTGATAAAAGCTGTCATTGTACTAATGAGGAAGTTTTGAGTTCTGAAACTTATAGGACATTTTTGTTGTTCTCAGTTTATGACCCCTTTAATTATTTTTTGCAATTCGACTCGTGTGAAAACATTACATTGAAGAAAAATGATTTTTGAGTATTAGCATTGAACATTGACTATGCATGCAAATATATGTGAGAGATTGAGAGTTTTCAGAAAGATTGAGGAAATGTTTCAGAAAACAACACATTGCCCAAAATACTGACACACAATATACTGATGACATTTCGACTGACCTTGTAAATAATTTAACAGGCATGAGGAGAACTAGCCACCATTTATGACTCAATAATCATATCAGTATCCACAGCAGACGATGAACCATAATTCACTACCTGGAGTGAATCACACAAACATATGTAACATATGTTCTTATTTATGCATCTCAGCAGCTGGCTAATATGTTTGGTGTAAAATCACTTTAGCATGTAGATAATTTACATGCTTGTGTTCAGTGTGTCAAGGGTGTTTGGCTGGATATGAAGGTCAGAAAGAAAATGACTGCTCCTCCTAGCTTTGCTCTCCCTCCCTCTCCCTCCCTCTCCCTCTCTCTCCCTCCCTCCCTCCCTCCCTCCCTCAAACATCCACATATATAATCCTAGGTTACTTTTACTGTAGTTCTTCAATTATACAGTATCTACAATATCAGTGCATTACAAACAAATCTAATCATCAAAATTATCATTATTTGTGCTCATTTTTTTGTGTAACTGTTTGCACGAAAGCGATTTGATTACTAAATGATGCATTACAATGGATCAAGAAAATTGTATTTTTTCAAAAACATGCCAAATACAGTTGTATATATTATAATTATAATATAATATAGTAATATAGTAATTATTCAGTTATGTAATCAGTGCATTCTGTTTTCATTTTTGATATCAATGCATTTGTAACCCCTACTCATTTGTATTTAAACAAATATGTAAGGCAGTGA